AGATACTGCCATCTGCTGGTTCCCTAGTAAATCACATTAAGCGTGTGGCAAAGAACCTTGGTGTTTGGTTTGATAGTAATTTAAATTTCGAGCAGCACACCACAAAGCTTGTTCAATCATGTTTTTATCAACTTAGAAATATAGCAAAAATTCGATCTATGTTAACTTTTAAGGACACCGAGACCATTTTACACACCTTCATCTCATCACGCCTGGATTATTGCAACAGCCTTTTCACCTGTTTAACCCAAAAATCTATTGATCGACTCCAGACTGTCCAGAACTCAGCTGCCTCGATCTTATTTGACTTTATTTTATCCCTTTTATTTTATTCTATTTTACTTATTTTATATTTATCTTAAATGTGTATTTTAGTCTTTAAAATGTTTTCTTGCTTTTATCTTGTATTGTTTCTGTATTGTTTTTTTGGTATTATTGTCTTTACACTTGTTAAAGCACTTTGTAGAGCACATTTCAAAAACAAGTTACAAATAAAGATTATTATTATTATTATATATTGTAAACAACTGTTTGCAATGTGTTATCACACAAAGACGACATCCTTTGAAAAGCAAGGAATCTCTGTATGTCTGCATTTGATTTTTGATTTTATTATTGAACAGTAACATGAATAAATGCATAATAAAATAATAATAATAATAATAAATTTTATTTATAATGCACTTTACATTTCAGGGAAATCTAATCTGATGTGCTACAACAACAAGGGGTTAAAAACAGTTCCAGAAAATAACAATCGCAATAAAACACCGTAACAAAAAATTTAAAACCATGACTGTTAAAAGGCCTTTTGAAATAAAGTCTTTAGGCCCTTCTTAAAAACCTCCAGAGTTTGTGGGGCCCTTAGGGGCTCTGGGAGGGCATTCCAGAGCCGTGGGGCGACTGCCTGGAAGGCCCTGTCTCCCATGGTGGAGAGTTTAGTCCTTGGTTGGTGCAGGCAGTGGGTAGAGGTGGAGGAGCGGAGGTTTCTTAAGGTGGTGAGTGGGGTGAGGAGTTCACTGAGGTAGGCAGGGGCAGTTCCATGTATGCACTGGTGGGTAAGGAGACAGATTTTATATTGAATTCTGTATTGAATGGGCAGCCAGTGGAGGGATTTCAGGACTGGAGTGATATGGTCATATTTGCGCCTCCTCGTCAGGACCCGGGCAGCGCAGTTCTGAATATGCTGAAGCTTTTGCAGTCTCCTGCCAGGGATCCCGACGAGGAGGGCATTACAGTAGTCCAGCCTGGAGGAGATAAAGGCATGGATCAACTTCTCAGCATCTAGTTGTGAGAGGGAGGGGCGGAGTTTGGCGATGTTTTTGAGGTGGAGGAAGGAGACCTTACAGAGGTGACGGATGTGAGTGTCGAATGTGAGATTTGAGTCAAGTCTGACTCCAAGGTTTGTAACAGAAGTAGACAGGGGAATGTGATGACCAAAAATGGATATACTGCTGAGGGAGGAGGACTGGGTTTGATGTGGAGTACCGATCAGGATGGCTTCGGTTTTGCTGCTATTTAGTTGAAGAAAGTTGTCAGCCATCCATGCCCTTATCTCCTCCAGGCAAACCTGAAGTGCAGATGGCAGAGCTGAGGGGAGTGTAGAGTCCATTTTTATGTATAGTTGTGTATCATCTGCGTAACAATGGAATGAAACTTTGTGTTTATGGATGATGTGACCGAGGGGTAGTAAGTAGATGGTAAAAAGGGTTGGACCAAGGACGGACCCTTGTGGCACTCCACAGCTGACTGTGTGGGGTGATGATTGGGACTGTCCTAGAGCCACATACTCCGTCCTGGCTGTGAGATAAGACTGGAACCAGCCTAGTGTAGTCCCAGAAAGTCCTACCATAAACTGGAGACGGTGAAGCAGGATGTTGTGATCCACAGTGTCAAAGGCGGCCGACAGGTCCAGTAGGAGGAGGAGAGATGGTAAGCCCTGGTCTGCAGTCATAAGTAGGTCATTTGTGACGCGGACCAGGGCTGTCTCCGTGCTGTGTGCTGCTCGAAAACCGGACTGAAATTTTTCATATATGTTATGGATGTGAAGGTGATTGTGGAGTTGGGCTGCAACAACTTTTTCCAGGACTTTGGACAAAAACGGCAGGTTTGAAATGGGTCTGTAATGAGCCAGGATGTCGGGGTCAAGTGACGGCTTTTTCAGATGGGGGCGGATAACTGCAGTTTTGAGAACTGGAGGGACCTGACCGGATTTGAGTGACTGGTTGAGGATTGCTGTGATCAATGGACTGATGGCTGTAATATTGGATTTTAATAATGATGTGGGGAGAGGGTCCAGTGAGCATGTGGAGGATTTCATGCACCTTATGATCCTCTCCACCTCTGTCTGAGAAATGCCTGAGAAGAGAGAAAATGTCTTTAATGGGTTTGTGGGAATAATTTTGGAGGAGGGTGAAACTGTGGCAGAAAGGTTGGATCGGATTGAAGCTACCTTGTTGGTGAAAAAGTCCATGAACCTATTGCACTGGTCTGTACTGGTGTCAAAATGTGCATATGTGGGAGGTTTGAGAAGAGAGTTTATTGACGCAAACAGCTTTTTTGAATTTCCAGAGCACTCTGAGATTTTTTGAGAGAAATATTGAGACCTGGCTGAAAAATGTAATCCACAGTGACAATATACATTCTTCAGAACAGTCGAAGATAACACAAGAAAGTTAAAAACTTATTTCCATTGTGGAGCCAGTCTGAGAAAGATAGGCAAGGTAAGCTATATAAACAAAAATAAAAACAAATACATACCTGAACACAAAGACATTTACACCTGGGGTCCCCTCAAATTATTATGTTAAGAAATACTCCTTAATACTTTTTAAAAGGTGTACAAAAAGGTGTTTTGGCCAGAACAGCACCTAAATCTACAGGGTACTGTCAGTTGCACAGCCTGAGTAGCTATGAGAGCTCCTAAAAAGCTTAAAATAATCTTTAAAATACCTTGCTTGTTCCTATGCAAAATCTTTCGTGTTAATCTCAGTTTCAGCTGCCTCACCCTGTTTTCAACAGTCAACCATTTTAAGTCCTTGAGTTCAGAAGAGCCGACATGAGTCCTCTTGTTGAGGTTTAAGATCAAGTTAAGTTTAGTTTTTATCCTCCTGGGGGTGCTAATGTACCATGTAGTACAGTCAGAGTGAGGCTGAGTTAAAACTATTGCCAACGATTTCAAAATTTCTTTATTTAGAAAATGAGCCTTACGGGCCAGAAATTTAATTCTTTGTTTCACTTGTGTGATAAAACTTTGACCCATATCCACGCCACTAGAGGAACTATCTAGGTCACAGCCTAAGTATTTAACACAAGTTTTAACTGCAATTTAGGTATCTCCCATGGAAATACTGAGCTCAGGTGTCTGTATGTATATTAGTTGTTGAGGTCAGTGGAGGTGAAGGAGAGGGGCAGGGTGATGACCCCGGTCATGTTGATGATGAGGGAGAGAAGGATGAGGAGGAGGAGCAGGAGGAGAAGGACGATGCAACCAGAGAAAACAGTGACGGGTGAAGAGGCTGTGTGCAGGGCTGAGGAGGCAATTATATGCATAGATAGCAGTAGAACATGGAGTATTGTTATACATAATTAAGAAAAATTACAATTTCTTAGCATTTGCCACAGAGTGCCACTGGGTACCACCGGTGACTTGAAATAACATGAACAAAAAGTAACATATAGTTAGAATCAGTGCTAACATTAGCAAGCATCTAAAATACAGATGTGTTGAAAAATTTTGCAAATGATGACAGCTGCAATTAAAATCCATGTGGGAGCTCAGCAGATATGACCTTCCTCTGTGTTCTTATGATACAAGAAGGAAAGTTCTATAATGTCCTCTGATGGTTTATGTTCCATCACTGTGACTGATGCAGTCAACTTTAGAATTGACTGGAAATAACAAGTAGCACACAGTGGTAAACTCAGGTCTCCAATTTATTATTTATTCTCTTCAACATTAACACATCCAACAGTTGTTGCAGTGTCACAGGAATCTGACATTGCTTCATCTCTACAAACACCAACAAGATGATGGTGTTAACAGCGTCTCTGCTCAGAACAGTAAAGTCATTAATTGAACCCTGGGTCAGGTTGACTTCCATCCATCCATCCATCCATCATCAACCGCTTATCCTGTATACAGGGTCGCGGGGGGGCTGGAGCCAATCCCAACTGACATCGGGCGCAAGGCGGGGTGCACCCTGCCATCGCAGGGCCACACAGACGAACACCCACTCACACCTAAGGACAATTTAGGGTCACCAATTAACCTAGCCTGCATGTCTTTGGATGGTGGGAGGAAGCCGGAGCACCCGAGAGAACCCACGCAGACACGGGGAAAACATGCAAACTCCAGAAAAGCCGGGGCAAATGGGGTTTGAACCCACGACCTTCTTGCAGTGAGGCGACACTGCTAACCACTGTATCACCGTGCCGACAGGTTGTAGACTTAATAAAAACAAAAGATTTCTATTGTATTTTGAAAACAATTAATTTTAAAAAACTGCACAAATAAGAAAATGGACAAATGCTAGATTAAACAATATCTACATTAGCTACCTTGTGTCCATTCAAAAAACAAGTTAATCAATATCTTTTTACATGAGCTATGATATCTTCTATCTTTCATCAACATACTAGTGTTGACACAGCCATTGTGTATTGCTATAAGCTCTGTATCTTTAGGTATCAGGAATTGGGTGGTGATGGCGCAATGGATAAGACTATGCCTTTGGTGTGAGAGACCCGGCTTCAACTCCCCGCTATGACCCATCCACCAATGTGTCCCTGAGCAAGACACTTAGCCCTTTGTTGCTCCAGAGGCGTGCGACCTCTGACATATATAGCAATAGTAAATCGCTTTGGATAAAAGCTTCAGCTAAATGAATAACTGTAAATTAGAAGGTTACAATAAAAAAGACATGTGTTGTACCAAACAATAAAACTTTAAACTGAATGTGAAGCACAAGTTTGAGAATAAGGCTGGGCACAGAATCAACTTGATCTGATAATCAGAAAATGACATATACACTTTATTATACTGTCTATTATTATTTGAATTTGTAAACAACATTCAAGATAAAATGGGGTGATGCTTTCTAAACTTTAAATGAAAGCACATATTCTTATTTACAGACAGAATCTAACAAGTCTTTTGTCATTGCTTTTATTTGAATGGACGAAGGTACACATAGTTGCATCCTCGTCCAACCGAGAAACATGGGTAAACAGGATCAGTGAATTTGGTGTGAAAGGTGTAGAGGTGACTCAGTTTATTAGAGACTCTGTAGTAGGACAGAGTGCCAGCAGGCCAATCCAGAAACACCCCAACTCTGTTGCAGTCAGAGGGAAAAACATCGCTCCACACCCTGCCATTATGATATGCGTGAAGTGTGGATTTCAGAAAGCAATACTGGCCAAAACACCACGACATGGTATTACTTCCAAGCTCGCTCTGTGAACTGTCTCCTTTTCTTTCAGTAATCTTGTACGCAACACCTACGTAAACAGATTCAAAGGAAGAATTACTCCACCCTAGCTCCCAGTAATGTCGCCCCTTTAACCTCTGTCTGCACATCACCTGAGGATGTGTATCAAACCTCTCTGGGTGATCAGGATACGTCTGCAACGCTCCACATGTTGCCTTTTTGTTTCCCAAAGACAGAGTGAGGTAGTTGTTGACAGTGTCTGGGTCCAGGGTGAGATCACAGGCATCTGATGGAGAGACCAAAACAAAATGTGTAATAAGTCATTCGGATGTTGAAGCAGGTTTCTGGAGGAGAAGGAGGAAGGTAGATGGGGAATTTGTATCTTCAACTCATTAAAGCATTGCAGTAGAAGTACTTACACCAGATCAGATCTCTTCTGTCAGTGATTTTCTCCACAGGAGGGAGGTCAGGCTTTGAGAACTCCTCAGAGACCAGAATGCCCTCCTTGTAATGGTAGATGGTTGCTCCTGCGTATTTCTTATTTGCTATGGCTGCTATAAGGAAACGGTATCGGCTGTTGTTCTTCAGTGCTTTGGCAAGATAAGAGAAAGATTTGGCTTTTTTGCTCATTTTAGTAAAAACTTCATCTGAGTTGTACCACAGGTCTTCATAGGTACTTCCTAATTTATGTGAGTCCAAGTAGTCGGCCATCACATCAAGGTAGGTGTCCCCCCTTTCCATGGAGGTGAAAACAAAGCACAGAGCATCCTCCACACCGAGAACCTCTCTGTCCAGCTCTGACTTATTGTGGACAATCTGTGTTCCCTCCATCTTTTCTACACAGGACCTGATGATGTTGATTTCTCTCTCTTTGTCTTCCATCCACTTGCTTAGTTTCTTATGACTGAATGGTGACTTGTCTCTGTCTTCAAAGACTTTTTCTGTTGAGCTCTCATCTTCTTCACCTGCTCTGATTGAGGTAAGTTTCTTCTCCATGGTCTGTTGGAGTTTAGTTGCATAATCATTACACAGTTTTTGGAAAGTGCTTAACTCTTCTCGAATCTGTGGTAAATTCTCCACCACTCTGTCGACCAGAGAATCGTTGCATCTCATTCCCACTTGACTTAAATCTTCCAGAGCATACTCTATCTTGCTCACTAGTCCAACACTGATCTCTCTCACCAGTTCAGCAGCTTCTGAATACAAATTCTTCAGTGGCATAAGAGAGACCTCCAGTGGAACACCGTTCTCTCCCTTTTCTCCCAGCAGCTTTGGAAGTTGTATGTAGGTCTTCACTGCATCTACAAATGTTGCAGGGTTGCTTTCGAGAATGAAGTCTCCGTAGAATTTGCAGGAGAATTTCTCAGTCAGAGATTTTTCTGCATCAGTCAGCTTGAGTTCAACTTTCCCCTCAACATTCAATTTGGGGATCTTCTTAATCACAGCTTCCATTTTGAGCTGGAAGTCCGTAACGCTGCTGGCGTCTAACTTCTCACTGTCAAACACAAAGAAAGCGTTTGCTCCATAAAGGATGCCTGTGACTACATGAGTTGCAGAGGCCTTCTTAATAACATCTGTCTGTTGGGTATTCCTGGGTAAATGGTCAATCACTGACAACTGTTTAAAGTTGGTCGTGGCTTTGTACTGACACGTCACTCTGCTCTGATTCTTGAATTTCTTCGTATCATTCAGAAACTTTGCAGATCCTCCACCTTCAATCAGTCCACACATATAACTGACCTTCAGAGAAGCATCAACATCCAGCAGAGTGGACCTGGATTCAATGGAGTCAGATGCAGAAATTTCAAATGCGCTGCTGTGCTGAGAGCTTTCAACTGTGTTCTCTTTCAGAGTTTTATCATCCCACAAAGTCAAACCTACAGAAATTAGAAAACAGTCATCTGATAAAGCAGGAAAATAATTTTGTTAATATAAAGTCACACAGAGCTAATGATAAACATTTAGATTTCGGTATGTTGCTCCTCCTTATCCTGCCAGCAGTTCATTAAACATGTAATATTTTAATTGCTTGATTAATTAATAAAAGGATTATAGTATTCAGAGGGTATGGTAACATGATTGTAACTGTGTAATAACACAATAAGACGTCCTGTGTGTGCCTGTAAGCCAGACAGCAGAGGAGAGGAGAGAGGCAAGACTGCACACGAAATGTAAAATTACACCAAAAACATGTTTTCCGCTCCTCAAACCATTTCAAAACCAAATTGGAAATGCCAAATAATCAAGTGTTTGTTTTTCTGTTTTAAAACCAAAACGGAAAACTATTGATTGACACTGAATATGTCCGATCTGTGTAGCTTTACGTCTTCCACTTGAGAAACGTGCAGCAAATACACTTGGGCAATGGCGATGCCTAATATAATGTATTGATGTTGGTGAGTGTGACCAGTCAGGGGATGGGGTAGACCACCGCTGTTGCAAACAGGCGCACGCGTACAGCAACCAGTTTTTAAAACCAGTAGGGTTACAATACCAGTCATAGATAAAACAAAACGCCGGTCCTTTGTTTTCATGTTTTGTGTTTAAAACGGAATAATCCAAGAACTATATGTGCGGATTCTCCTCAAATCCAACTCCCTGTTTGTTTCCAAACCAAAATACTACTATACTACTAATAATACTAATAGACGAACAACCACTCACACCTAATACTAATTTAGAACCAATCCATTCACAATAGGGTTTGACAGTACAACTCTCATAGGGGTGTTTTAAAATGGCTCCACAGAGACAATTAGGGGCTGAAATTCTGCAACAATAATGACTTGATTCAATTTTACCACCTATCTATCTATCTAGAATTACAAAGCATCAATTATTTTTATAATGTGTCTGAATGTTAAATAAGTGTGGTTAAAATAGTTTAACTGCCTAATAAAATGATTTCAAGGCTCCTGTAAGCAGAGCTGTGGCAGGCAGATATCTTGCAAAATAGTCTAAATGAAGTCTTACCTGGAATCAGTTGATCTTTCCGAGCATCATAGAGCATTCCTAGGGTGAATGGTCGACCCAGAGCAGCAACCTTTATGGTATCTGAGGCCATTTCTCCAACCTGTTGAGTTAGTGGCCACACAGTCCTCACTACTTAAAGTCCTCTGCAGTATGAGTGTTGAGAGTTTATGACACAGGAAGTCTCTTCCTTCAGACAAACTGCAAAGACAAGAAGCTGAAACCGTGACAGTTTACTGTGCATGGAAATACAATATCTCCCCAAAGACACTATTCTGACAGTGATAGTTTTACTATCAGTAATCTCTCTCTCTCTCTCTCTCTCTCTCCCCCTCTCCCTATTTATAGAGATATCTATCTATTCTATTTCTATCTCTACCTCTATCTCTCTGTCAGCCAAGTTTGTCCTCACCTGGTGAAGTATAGATCGCTTGTGTGCGAGTCCTCTTGACTTCCAACTGGAGCTGCCAGTCTGATCAGTGATGTTATACCCCATCAGATACTCTTCTGACTCCTCCTCTGACATGCCTCCAGCACCATGGTACCAACACAAAAGTAAATGTGCAAAGCACAAAAATATACAGGATGCAGTTATACATCGTTCCCTCAGAAAATCACAATAATGAAGCATGGGTTACTGTAACAAATTTATAAGCCTTTCCCTGTGACACAAGCCCTTTATTTGAAAGTGCTGGGTAGTGATGTAATGAGTCAGTCTCTCCTCACTTCAATACAGAATTTACACAACATTTAAGTTAAAACATTCACTTTAATACACTGAGTTATCAGCAGGAAATACATTAATTTTCACCTCTTTTTGGGGCTTTCTACAAGCATTGCATACTCCTTTGTCTACACTGGGAAGTTCCTTTAAATCATTTAGTTGTGAAACAAACAGATTCACTTCCTGTTTGGGGCTCCAACATGACTGGGAGCAGCGGGAACTGTTAGCTTCAATTGTTATTTAGACTTTTCTTGTAGAATGAGGTTTGCCTTTGACCCTGAGTCCATTTATTTGCTGAGGTGTTCTGAGAAGGAAGTCATAACATTTGTGTTCCTAACACTTTGTTCGATGTTGACAATTACAAGAACACTGAAATTCTATTACATGAAAATTGCAATGAGAGGAAGAGGGAGTGAGACAGCACTTGGATATGCGTTTCATACAGGAGACAAGGAGACCTGGATCTACTGATGCGATTGGACCCGTTCATGTGATAGTGGTCACGCCGGCTTCATGATCAAATGAAAATTAAGTTCAATTCAGTTTTAAAAAAAGCAGTTAATCAATCAATTGGCCTCATTAGCAAAAAGGTTCCGCATCAAATAACAAAAGTTGCTCCGTTCCTCAAAAACAAACACCTTGCCTGACTTATTGGGATCTGGACCGGTTTGATTGCAATGGTTTTGGTATTTTGGTTGGCTTGTTGTTTGGTGGTTGTTGCTGAGGTGCAGATGGAAAAGGGGGTGATGTACGGGAACCTTGCTCTATTGTAGTATGTGAACAGCAAGGGATTTGATGGCCTCACTGTTGTACTTGTTCAACTCTACTGAGCGAGTTGCTCCAACGTTTTTCCTCCACTCCGCTCTCCTCTCTTTTGTCAACTGCTCCCGTCTCTGACACACCAAACTTTTCAGTACTTCTGCACTTTCGTTATCTGGGAGGACTCCGTGTTGGTGCCAGCGCTGAGCGAATCAAGGTCTGCCTCTAGAGGGAGTATGAATCGGCGGTGTTCACGGGCGTTGCATCCTGAGAGGTTCATATTGTCACAGTGAGAGCTCAGCATATTTGATTTTCCTCTGTGTTCTTATGAAACTGCGAAGAAGGAAATTTCCAAGCACGTGCACACAGACATCAAAAGGGGCATGAGCACTTGCTCTTTTTCTTCCTCAAGAGAAACCCCCAAGGGATATATATTCCTGTTTGCACACCGCTTCCCCTGTCAAGCAATAAAGTTATTCGAATAAAAAAATCTAAATATCAGGCCGGCCGATAAAGCTTTATCAAGTTCCGATGCGCTCTCTTTCGCTAATTAGCCAAAACACAAAAATAGTTAACTGTTGACTTGCTAACAGGCATGACTAATGAGTAAGGCTACTATCTAAGCTAAAGTTTAGCTAAGGCCATACAGGCTACTGTACTGTTCAAGTGAATACAGTAAAATTCGCCACATTGATATTCAAATTAGGTGTAATTTTGCATACATTTGACAAGGCACTGCAGTGTCAAGGATAAACAAAATCATATCACCACAGAACTTCCCCAGTTAATGACTTGTCATTGACTTGAAATGTTGTTTAAATATGCAGATTAGCTTGTTTTGTTCATTTAGAAGAAATCTACAGATGCAAACAGACAGAGGGTAGTAAAACAAACACGATCCAAATGTGTGTTTTGGAAGTTTTCTTTCAGAGAAGAAAATTGACCACCCCATGAAAAGTGTGTCCTGCCTTAAACAGTAACTTCATTTTGATTGTGGGCTCCTCATCTAATAACTATCCATTTTTTTAGTTTGTTAGATCTTTACACGATACAGACAGCCCTCCCTCTGCGTATGTGTATATATCTGGGGGGTTAAACTCTCCTGTCATGCAAACAGAAAGGATACTACTGTAAACTTGCTGCTGACAGTTTGTTAGATACTCTCTTCTACTGACCCGCCTCCAGACGTGACAACCATTTTTTTTATGTGATAGACCACAGGCTTGACTATAGGCTTGTAGTCAGATTATGTGTGCTTAGCACATTACTAACAAATCAGTAAAATCTTCAATAGCACAGCGAGAGACATTACACACAACCACACTTAAAGCTGGGGTAGGCAATGTTGGAGAAAATAGACAGAGACCTCTAGATTTTGGAAGAATCCAACCCCCCTCCCTTCAGGCCTCAGGCCAAAACACATTTTCATGCGCAGTGAGTGCATGGGCAGAGTGCACGCAGGTAGGGAATGAAATAATTGGCAGTTCTTATTACAGTCCTGCGACAGGCACAGATACCGGATTTTCAGGCAGAGCATTTGATTTCTTGAGTGCTGTCGGGATGTAAAGAGAATTTCAACAAATTTTACAAAACACTTCTGAAATAAATTGCCTAGCCCGGCTTTATCACAACTTACCCCAATAGCTTTTA